GGAAGAAAGGAGGAAAACATACCCATCTAGGTTCTGGAGGGACCAACCAGCTCAGCCTTTACCTGAGTGCAAAGTTAAGCCAACAGTAATAGGATGTGGCATTTATTTCTTCCTCAGTTGGCCTGGGAAGTAGAGAAGCCCAGCTCTCTTTCTTTCTTCCTTCCTTCCTTCCTTTTTCTTTTTCTTTCTTTTTTCTTTTTCTTTTTCTTTTTTTCCCGAGACAGGGTTTCTCTGTGGCTTTGGAGGCTGTCCTGGAACTTGCTCTTGTAGACCAGGCTGGTCTCGAACTCACAGAGATCTGCCTCCTGAGTGCTGGAATTAAAGGCTTGGGCCACCAAAACCTGGCAAGCCCAGCTTTCATACTCAAGTTTACATCATAATGAGCAGAATGCATTTTCTGTGCCCACCACAACAAAAGTCACAATGGTCAAAGAGACAAGCCACCAATTCTCTATCCTCCTCCCAGTACACCCACCTTGCCCCTTGTTACAGGCTTACTACCCTGTCTATTAATGCTCCCTTAGCCCTACTTCAGGTTTCTCTTCCGTTGTGTCGGGGAAAGTTTAGGGGAGGACTCCGTAACTTAATCCCAAGAACCTAGGTGTTTTTCCGGTTCTCTAAAAACACAACTAATTAGCATATCAAAGGGACAAGCAGCAGCTGTGTGTTCACAGCCTCCTGTGGTGTTTATCCAACCACTGAGGATTCTCGCACCTCAGTCAGAATGGCTATCATTAAGTCTTCCAAGGCAACATGCCACAGAGAGATACTCAAACACCTATGTTCTCTACAGCACTATTCACCATAGCCAATCATGGAATCAGCTCACTTGTCTGTCTACAGATGAATGGATAAATAATATGTGGTGTACACACAATGGGGTTTTGTTCCACAGTAAAGAATCAAGCCTGTAATAAAAATTACGTTGTATAATTGAGCATTGGAATTCATAATTCAAGTCTTTTCATCTGCCTTAGCACTAACATTTTAGAAGCAGTAAACTCATTTTACACTTAAGTATGAATGCCATTTGTACCTTTCCCTGTATCCTTTCTCTAAATTAATAGCATAATCATCCACAAAAATTCACTGTATTCAGAACAGAGTGATTACTCAGTGTCACTCTTCCTGATACACATTCGTTTGCCCAGTTTATCCAGTGATTAGCATTGTATCTGTCATTAACCTCTCTGTCCTCTATTGCCTTAATTCTAGCCTTCATCACCTTTGCTTGCAATTAGCTTTTTGTTCTCTCTCTCTCTCTCTCTCTCTCTCTCTCTCTCTCTCTCTCTCTCTCTCTCTCTCTCTCTCTCTCCCCATCTAAACCCTGACGCATCCGCTGCGCAGCCTATGTCCGAGAACGTGCAGAGGGTGTAGGGGATTGACAACACAGAGACTTGTTCAACGATGTAAAGAAAACTTTAAGCAGGCCCCAAAAAGGCTCAAGAAAACTTCCCAAGAAAGGCCTCCCTCCAGAAAAGCTTCTGCTTTCTCCTCTCCCCTGGCTGGTTCTGCTCTGACACCAAAAACTGATCTGGGTGTGTCAGAAGAGGCGGTTAGTCTTTGGACAAGGTCGAGGTCAGGGTGGTTTCTGTGGGCAGGCCCTTTCCAGGAACTTATTGACCCAGGCATTGTATTGTTTTTAATAAACATGTTTTTAGTAAACATTGTCTTACAGCTGCCTACTCCCAGGCCGATAGGAAAGTGGGTCTCTGCTCAAGGTCTGGTGTCCCCACAAAACCCTCAACCTTTCCCCACCCACACTGGCAGAAGAGGGAATATTTTCCTTATTATGTGAGCAGGCTGGTTCCCTGTTTCAAAATATCTAATATGACAATACAAGAAAAATAGGGGAGAAAAAAAACTACTTTCTATACAAACAATAAGGTCTAATTAATAGGAGCCTTGAGTCAATGACTTTCAGTTTTTTTTTCAGATACTGTGGATGTCGGAAAAAGATTTTTCAATTAAAGGAGATAAACAACAATCCTGCTTGTGAGCTACTCAAATTGGGTGGTGATCTGAAGATTAAATTGCTCATCCTCCATCCATGTTCCACACAGTCAATGTCATTGGTGAGTTTTCTTAGCATTTGCAGAGTAAAGAGTCAAGAACTCTGGTGCTGTTTTATTACCCATATAATGAGAAAATCATATGTCTGTCAAGATTCACCTGGTTAGATGATCATAAATCACAATAAACAAATGCTTAGGAGATGATAAAGGTTCATAAATTTTACATGTTGCTAATTATCCTATTTAACATAGCAGACCTCTAGGGCTTTAACCTTCTTCATAGTATTTATTACCACCCAACATTATGCATTCATGTTTTCTGTCTCCACCAGAAAGTGAATGCCTAAAAGCAAGATCATCTTGTTTCAGTTACTAATCATCCCTATTCCTTGATTCAAAATGAACAACCAATAAATATTTGTTTGCCAGGGAATACAGATAGTATAACAACTATTACTATTAATTAGTCTTTTCTGTCAAATAGTGAAATACTGAGAAAGCTTTATGATAAAGAATTCAATTATTTTTAGAGACAGGGTTTCTCTGTATTGTTTTGGAGGCTGTGCTGGAACTCACTCTGTAGACCAGGCTGGCCTCAAACTCACAGAGATTCACCTGCCTCTGCCCAACGAGTGCTGGGATTAAAGGTGTGTACCACCAATGTCTGCCTAAGAATTCAAACCTTATAAGGCTTCTATGCAAATATTTAAGTCAGGAACCTGCCCATATTCCTTGTAAAACCTTTAGGCAAATGTTTTAATACCTCACCACCATACCAATGGGTAAAACTATATATATATATATAGGCCCTGCAGTATTCTAGAATTTGGGTGAGTTAAAAGGCGCCACCATCTTGCTATTTTCCTTCATTTCCTATACACAATTCTTTTAAAACTAGTCAATCATGAAAGATTGTGAGGTGGGACCCCAGTCAATGGGGAAAAGACACAGCCACGGTGATGTTAGAATAGAAACCGAATAAACTTCCTCTCCTGGTATGCTCCTTATCCTGGCTTAGGTTGTAGCACACTCTTTATAAAAAATAAATTGCCTAAATGAACGACTTTCACTTTGTTCATGAGTTCCTTATTGCAACACTGAAAGCATTCTGTTTGGTTCTATCAATACTTGTATATTGAGAAATAACGCTTGGACTGGAGAGATGACTCTTTTGTAATAAATTACTCCCCACTGAATCATTCCAGCAGTCTTCACAAAAACCCTTGGTAAGAAGAAGAGTGGCTTGTAAGTGTTCTGGTACACAAGTATAGCCTGAAGCTTGGAGAAAAAAGACAAAACAACAACAAAACAAACAAAATTTTGGCAACCATCCACAGCAGACTCAAGAAGCAGGTTGGCTGTAATCAAAAATTGCCAAATTAGTTAAGAATGTTTTTATGGCAATCCGAAAGTCATGGTGTTTGATTGTGGTACTATGTTCTCGGTCAGTTTTTTTTTCTTTCCAAAGTGGGTCTCACTGTGTAGCTCTGGCTGTTCTGGAATGTGGAACAGTGCCATTATTTTCCTGCCAAACCCCCAAAACAAGAAACTCAGACGATTAACACTTAGTTTTCAGTATATATCAAAAATAAAATAAAATAAAGAAAAAAGATCGTTAGTCATAAAACTTAAAACTTTAGTAAAACTCTGAAGTAAAGTTTTTGTATTAATATATTTAAACCTAGTATTTTTTCTTTTTCTGGTTTTTTTGTTGTTGTTGCTTTTTGTTTTTTGTTTTTTTTTTCGAGACAGGGTTTTTCTGTGGCTTTGAAGCTTCGGAGGCTGTCCTGGAACTTGCTCTTGTAGACCAGGCTGGTCTCGAACTCACAGAGCACCGCCTGCCTCTGCCTCCCGAGTGCTGGCATCAAAGGCTTGCGCCAGCACTGCCTGGCTAGTTTATGTATTTTACTAACAAAAGCAAAACACTGAAAATGCTTAGATGGATCCTTTCATCCCATAAATACAAAAAAAAAAAAAATTGGGGGCCAGGTGTTGGTGGCACACGGTTTCAATCCCAGCACTCGGGAAGCAGGGGCAGGTGAATCTCTGTGAGTTTGAGATCAACCTGGAACTGGTCTACAGAGAGAGTTCTAGGGCAGCCTCCAAAGCCACAGAGAAACCCTGTCTCGAAGAAAAAAAAAAAAAAAGGTTTTTGGTCCTGGGCCTTATAATTAACTTACAAAAACCAGTGTCAAATCCCCTAAAATTCACGTAGTGAATTAAAAGGAGAGGGTATCAAGTACATATCACATAGTGCAAGTCATCCTGTCTAGCCACAGTCTCCTGGGACCCAGCAGTGATAAAAGTTAAAGCAATTAACCAAAGTTAAACTCTTAGGGTTGGTAAATATCGTGCCAGCCACTGCGATCACACGATTAACCCAAATCAATTGTTCTCGCTGCAAAACGTGTTCTACTTATTTATTTATTTATTTATTTATTTATTTATTTATTTATTTCTCCTATTTGTTTTTGTTTTTTCGAGTCAAGCTTTCTCTGTGGCTTTGGAGGCTGTCCTGGAACTGCCTCTGCCTCCCGAGTGCTGGCGTGCGCCACCAACGCCCGGCATAAAACGGGTTTTATGACGACTATCGAATGGAATTAAAAATCCAACTTAGATGTGCAAATTCATTGTTGACCCTCCATCGAATAACGAAAGTAATGCCAGGTGGGCCTCGAGTTCACGGAGATCCAAACGCCTCCCTGGTGCTGCAGCTAAGGGTGTGCCCGCCACGCCCTCTCTAACAGGTGGTCTGCGACCGGACAAAACAGGGCGCAGGAAAGGGGGCTGCCAAGAGCAAAGATGGCCGCGCCGGCTTCGGAGACCACACCCAAAATGGACGCTGACTGTGACGTTCCCGGCCGCAAATCTCCATTGGTCCGGGTCCCCCAAGCCAAGACCCCGCCTCCCCCACGGCGCCCGCCCTGCCTTCCGTCAGAAGCTGGCTTTTGATTGGCTGCCCGTGCTATTTACCTTTTGTCCGGATGTGGCGTGACGCAGTGAGTCGCGCAGCCGCGGCGGAAGCGGGCAGACGGAGGTCGGGAGCTCTCGGTTTGGCCAGCCCGGAGGGAGGGGAGCCTCGTGGTAGCGGTGACCGGAGCTGAGGTACGGCCCGGCGAGCCCGAGAATCCCAGGCCCGGGGACGGGCTTGGTCACGGCGGGGTGCGGGCCGGCTGCCGCGGGCCGGCGGGCGGGCGGGGAAGGCGGGCCCGGCCCTCGCGGCGCCTCTTCCTGGGCCGGAGACGCGGAGTCAGCCCCTCGGGGACCCGCGCGGCCGTCCTGCTGGCCAGGCTGAGGGTGGCGTGGGGTGGCGCGCGGTCGCGAAGGCTGCGGTGACAGGGAAGGAGCCGGGGGCTCTCGGGCCGGCCGGCCGCGGTTCGTACAAAGCTAGCCCGGGTGCGCGTCTCAGAGGCAGGGCCTCCGTGAAATAAACCCGCGGCAGGTAACCGTCCCGGCCTCTTCCTCCACGCGAGGCCGCTCTCCGCGCCCCGGTCCGCGTCAGCAGGCTGAAGCCTAAGGAAAGCCACTGGGTTGAGATGATGTAATGGCGTGAAAGTCCGCGAAGGGCTCTCGGCTCTTTCTACAAGGTCAGGAGTCTAGAGCTCTGTCCCCTTGTGAGTCCCTGTGGAAGAACCTCGGGTATTTTAAAGCAGACTTTGAAGGCGCTAGTTAAAATTTGTTTTCTCATTGCATTCCTGGACTTTTAAGGTAAATCTTGGGCCGTTTCCGAACCCCACGGCTCTGCTTTGCTCCAATTTTCGTGTATTTACTAGCGGGGTGGGGAGGGGAGGGACGCGAAAGGATAGTTACTTGCCCAAGATTCATCGGAACTCAGTAGCCTGAAATGTGCTTTTAACATTACAAAAACACAACCCTCCACATAATCGGTTATAGTTATGGAGCTAAGACAATTCAATTCAAATAATGTGTTAGGAGAGAGTTGCTTGTTTACTCTGTTGAGGACACCGGAAGGAGTCTTAATAGGGAAACCTGGCTGGACAATTAATGTTTATTTTGATCGAATGTTATGTAGTGGTGGAATAAATTAACTTAATTTGGATGTGTCTGTCGTATTTTAATTTTTGACGTATTTACTAGACATTTACATGTGTAGCTTCTGTTGATACCTTTTTAGTCTTGCACACTTTGACCTCAACTGGTTATTCACCTTGGATGTTTTAGCTGTGCTGAAAAGTTACACAGATTCTTTTAACATTACTCTCATTGAATGATGGTATAAATATCAGTCAACACTACAGTTGTAAAATCTGTCAAAATTATAGTTGTGTTAACATAAAAGCTCGTTCTGTATTGTATATCTGGATTATATGTAGATATATGGTCAAATTATAATTTATATTGGATGACCCATCCCAAACTGGATGTCATGAGTTAAAAGGGGCAAAGGGAGGATTCAACATTAAGAAGTAATGAGGCCACTGTTGTGATTTTTTTTTTCTGCAGAACCTTAATTTGTTATTTCTGTTCTTTGACTCTTCTGTTCCCTTCTCAATTAACTTGTTTTTTCCTCTCTACCTTTCTGACTAGCGTTTCAGATCTGCTTAGTGAACCGGTGTATCACCCACCATGCTGGCTGCAAGGCTCGTGTGTCTCCGGACACTGCCTTCCAGGGTTTTCCAGCCCACTTTCACCAAGGCCTCCCCACTTGTGAAGAATTCCATCACGAAGAATCAATGGCTCTCAACACCCAGCAGGGTAAAGAATGCTTTTTCAGTGTGGGTTTCCACCCCCATCTGGGTGTTTTGTTGGTTAATTAATGGGTTATCTGTGAGAGTGTCTGGTAGTGTGTAGCTTACTCTCTCTTAGTGACTTACTAAATAAAGCAACAGTAAAGTTTCCAGTGAGCTTTCTCCCTATCGATTTACATCACTATCACAAATGAAAGAGGTTCTATACTTTACGTTTCTAGTTTCTGACTCAGAAAACTGAGAGTAAACGTTGGGGAACTGAGTTAGATGGTACAGCAAAAGAATTGTATGTGGGAGCTGTATTCAAATGTTTGAGAATCCAGAGATACTATCAGATGGTTCAGCTTATCAATTAGTTACTAAAGATGGCCTTACAGGTTTTGCTTAGATAAGGCTAAAAATCTGTCCATTCTCTAGAAAGGCCCATTTCCTTTGGCAACAGGCTGTTTCCTGTAGCTGGTCCAAATGGTGATTTCTCCTGCCATATGCTCCCAGGTGCTGAGATTGCAAGCTAATAGATCCATCTTCTAGCATTTCAATGAGTATACCATGGATGTTTTTAAATGTGAAGTAAAGAGGATACAGTAGCTACAAGAGGGTATATTCCCCTTAAAATAACTTCACTAACACTGAAAAAGAACTAGCTAAATGACTGAGTGCTTTCCTATTGTTCATGAGACTTTAGATTCAACCCTCACTACCTGGGGAAAATTGTAGAGTCATTTCAAATATGGAGCACAGGTCAGCCTACATCTAATCTTCATTAACTTTTATACTGACACTGTATTAGTGTAAAAAGGCCTCTGCTTTATTGATATACTGTTGGTCTGAATGGTACATGTCTTTTTTTGTAAATGGCAGGAATATGCTACCAAGACAAGAGTTAGGATTCACCGTGGGAAAACTGGCCAAGGACTGAAAGAGGCAGCTTTTGAACCATCATTGGAAAAAATCTTTAAAAGTAGGTGGAAGTTCAGTATTTAACATGAAGCTGCTACACGTGTTTAAGAAACCCATGAACAGTTTCCTGAAAATACATTCAAACATGCATATGTGTATTTTTTGCAAGAAAGGTTACACATCTATATGGTTGGAAGTTTCTGTCCTGCCCAGTCCTGTAGCCATTCAGTTCCAAATAAACATACAGGGACTTATATTAATTATAAACCTTTGACACTGGCCAGGTGTGTGCCAGTGCCAACAGAGACTAGAAGAGCTCTCATCCCCTGAGACTCAAGTTTTAGGTGACTATATGCCAACTGATGTGGGTGCTGGGAACTGAACTCAGATCCTCTGAAAGAGCAGCAAAAAAGCTCTTAACTACAGAGCCAGATCTGTAGCCCGTAGGAAGGCATTATCTTAATGAAGTCACTTTGATTCATAGTTTGAATTTTAACTTTGAAGATTCTGGAACCAGCCGGTCGTTGGTGGCGCACGCCTTTAATCCCAGCATTCGGGAGGCAGAGGCAGGCGGATCTCTGTGAGTCGAGACCAGCCTGGACTACCAAGCGAGTTCCAGGACAGCCTCCAAAGCCACAAAGAAACCCTGTCTCAAAAATCCAAAAAAAAAAAAAAAACCACCAAAAAAATTCTGGAACCAGATTAATATTCTTCCCTAAACTATTTAAACAAAAGCTCTGCTTCTTAACTTGGAAATGGCACTGTTGGGGAAAGCCCTAATCAGTATCATGGAAAGAATTTCTTTTTGATAGAGTCTTGACCACAGAGAACAAATCATGATTTTTCCAATAATATTCTTAGTGAACAAATTTAAGTTGAAGAGAGTAAGATGTTCTCTATAAGCATCTGCCTGGAAGTTGATAAAATTTTCAGTATTCTAAAGCAAGAACATCTGTCCTTTTTTCGGTTACATAAGCATTAATAGCATTTTTCTTTGTTGATTCTCTAGACTCACCTAAAACTTCACTTGGGTTAATACAAGTGTGGGATCACTGATACTATTTTATTTTTTTAAACATTTATTTATTCATCTGGGATAAGTTCTTGCTGTGTAGACCCTGCTGGTCCTAGACTCATGGTTTTTTGCCTCAATCTCCCAAGTGCTTTAACAGTTATGTATACATTTATACCAAAATACTCCTCTATTCTTTGTAGTGATTATTGTACATTTGTTTCAGGAGTGTCCTTTCCTTCCAGGTCTCCTAATGTTGAAAATTGTCTGTGTACCCCATGAGACTGCTGTAAAGAAGCAGTTAGGATTTGATCCCCTCCTGGGTATTTTGAATGTTTACCCCAGCACTTTGGTTAACATGTGCTGACCCTGCCCTGTGTTTGCTGTGTGCTTGCAGTTGATCAGATGGGAAGGTGGTTTGTTGCTGGAGGAGCAGCTGTTGGTCTTGGAGCGCTGTGCTACTATGGCTTGGGAATGTCTAATGAGATTGGAGCTATCGAAAAGGCTGTGTAAGTAAACTGTTCCCAAACAACCAAAATCCTTCCTTCAAATAAAGGTTCCCATTTTCTTCCCATTCTTGAGTCTCTAGTCACTTTTGGAATGCCTTGTCTGGTTTTCGTTTATGAATATGCATGAATTATATATAGTCTCTTGTTCATTTGTCATATATTTATTCAACCTAAATAAGCATCTTTTACCAAGGTTATATATTCAGAAAAAGAGAAAATATATTGTTTTTTATGTGTATCAAATACATGCTTGTATCATTTAATCTCCAGTAGCTCCAAGATAATTATTTACATCATAGCTGGGTGTAGTGGTACACCTTTGATCCCAACACTTAGGATGCAGGGTCCAGGACAGTCTCCCTATCTTGAAAAATCAAAACCAGTAATAATTATTGTTTCCATCATAATTAAATTGAGAACATTAAAGTGATTTATTATAGTCTTTTGTATCTAACAAATGATTTCATCTGAATTTACAGCCACAAATAAGCTAACCTTGTCGTGTTTCTTACAGAATTTGGCCTCAGTATGTGAAGGATAGAATTCATTCTACTTACATGTACTTATCAGGGAGTATTGGTTTGACAGCTTTGTCTGCCTGGGCAGTAGCCAGAACACCTGCTCTAATGAACTTCATGATGAGAGGCTCTTGGGTGGTAAGTTAGCGATTTGCTATTTTTGTGGGGAAGATGGTGTTGGGTGATTGGTTGGTTTTGTTGCTTTTTGGTGTAAAGATCAAAAGATTTTACGACCAGGCAGTAGTAGAACATATACCTTTAATCCCAGTACTCAAGAGGCAGAGGCAGGCAGATCTCTGTGAGTTCAAAACCAGCTTGGTCTACAGAGCAAGTTCCAGGACAGGCTGCAAAAAAGCCTGGTCTCTAAAAACAAATTAACAAAAATTCATGACGTGGGGCCATTAATATTTCAGTAGTAAAAAAACCTACCTAGAATCTGTAGAACTGTAGGTTTGGTTCTTGATACAGGGGAGATTTCCTAAAATATATATTTTGGGAAAGGAAGAGGACATTAAATGGAAGAGTACTTTATTACTCTTAATCATATATGTTTTAGTCAGATCAAAGGAGTTGAAAACTGAACTTAGGAGCAGATAACAAACAACTTCTATTTTGTACCCACTTGCTAAAAAGTAAATACCTGGTGATGGCAACACTCTCCTTTAATCCCAGCACTTGGGATGCAGAGGTGGGCAAATCTCTGAGTAAGTTCTAGGATAGCCAGGGCTTCAGAGAAACTGTTTCTTAAACAGATGAAGTAAATGCTCAAGCTCCTCGGTGTTAGAGGAGATTAGTTACTGTGGCACTGCTGCCCCTGAGCTCTGCTTTTGTGCATGTGCTCTGTTCAATGGGCATTTCTTCTTATGGTCGTCTTGGCTGTCCTGGAACTCATCTATAGACCAGGCTGGCCTCAAACACATAGAGATCTATCTGCCTCTGCTTCTTGAGTTCTGGGATCAAAGTCATGAGCCACCACTGCCCAGCAAAGTGAATGGATGTTTCTTAAGCACTTGCTGTATGGGTTCTGCTCCTGCTCTGTTGGGGCGGAGATCTAGAGTGCACCATGCAGGATGTGCAATAAGAAATAAAAGTTGAAAGAAGTAAAAAGTCAGCTGAAGGACTTTGTCTCAGGCCATCAGGGCAGTTCTGTGGAAGAGACTTAGTTCTTTCTTATTTCATGTGCAATGTGTTTTGCTTGCATGCTTATATGTTGGATCCGATGGAACCTGAGTTATAGTAAGTGTGCTTCCATGTGGGTGCTGAGTCTTGAACCTGCGTCCACTGGAATAGCTTTCTGAGCCATCACTCTAACTCCTGAGACTTAGTTATGCAGGGTATGGCTACATGTTTTGCTGAAACATTTTGGTTTCAAAAAAGGACAAGTCCAGTACAGCAGAACAAAGGAGAAGAGCTAGGAGCTAGGAAGACCTAATGAGAAAAGCGGTTTACGGTCCCATTCAGAGTGAGATTTCAAGTGAGAGGACATGGTTAGGAAGGATATCTTTGATTTCCAAGCTGAGCAAAGTACCTAACAGAGACCACTGCACAGTCTGGGGTGGCAGAAAATTTGCTTCTGTTTGAATGCTAAGAACTAATGTGGGAGACATAAAGCAGGTATGATCAGCTGTGCCAGTAAGTCTCAGAATGAGGGATTAGAACATCAAATGTGAGTCCAGTAAAGGAAAGAGATATAAATTACATATAATGTAATAATAAACCCAGAATCTATGATATTTCCTACATTGCGTATGCCAAGAGGAGAACGTATGATAATTTAGACATTACATAGTCTAAGGATCATGCTCACTGAAAGGAAAACCATTATAATAATAATACAGCCATTTGAACTCTTAGGACCGTGCTTATTGAGTGAGTCTCCTGACTCTCCTAGCCTAAAGAGAAGTTGGTTTATGGAGCTAAAGAATAAGTGAAGATGAGTTCTCATTAGGAAAGTCAGTTTGAATCAAGCAAATAATTAAAATGATGCTTAGCATAAACACAGCAGTATTCTGAAAGGTTAAAATGTACATAAAAATACAATACCAAAACTGACAAGCTTTTGGTGAGAATGTGACCTCTGCAGCAAAATGTTGCTCTCTTCTGCTACTAAGAATAGTTAAGAGAAGTAGTTGAGAGAGCTAGGTAGATGTTATAGAAAGGAGGGTGGAGCCATTTGGAGGTGATACAGATAGGCAGGAAAGCACAGTTCTTCTCAAGTGCCTTTGAAACAGTAATGATATCTGCCACTTTTGGGCAAAGTGCCTACTAGAAGAATTTCTGAGATAAGCTTAATGGGTGTCTCACATCTAGAGGTCAGAGGACAGCTTTATGGAAATTATTCTCCTTTCCACATCTGTGGATTCTGAGGATAGAACTCTGGTCCTCAGCTTATATTTGGTGCTCAGTAAGTAGCTTACCTGCTGCTGATCCATCTCACTGGCTTGCCAGGGTGTTTTTTGTTTGTGTGTTTGTTTTTTATTGTTGTTGTTGTTTTTTGAGACAGGGTCTTCCTATCAGCCCTGACTGTTCTAGAACTCATTTTGTAGACAGGGCTGGCACTGGCTTTCTTGAGACAGGGTCTATCTATTTTGCCCCGGCTGTCCTAGAACTTAGTTTGTAGACTTGGCAGGCCTTGAATTAAGAGATCCACCTGACTGTGCCTCCCAAGTGCTGGAATTAAAGGTGTGTACCACCATGCATTCTTAAAGGCACAGAGGACACAATTAGGGAAACAAAACTTGGGAGCATTTATTCAATTCTGTCTGTTTAGTATCACTAAAATGTAGATTATGGAAAGGTTAAAAGCAGAAATGAGAGTTTTTTTAAAGAAAAATATACAATTGAAATAAACAACTAGAAATTTTCATGAACAAAGGATACATGGAACAGTTTGTAGTAATTACTTCTCTATTAGAAAACAATGAGGTAGAATCCAGTATGTTTTTTAGCATTGGTTTTTCTTATTCTGCACAAAAACAGCTGATTCATTTTCCTATGCTTTACATCAGGTTGAAAGTTATCTCTGTGGCAGTAGAGGGCACTCTTGCTAATGTGTTCTTACTAAAGCTGAAATGACCAGAAACTAGAGAAAACAGGATTCAGTTTCTTATTCTTTATAGTCGTACTTGACTGTGGGCTTCTACTTTAAGGGCCTGTTTGGCTTTTTAATGTGTCTTCCAGACAATTGGTGCAACCTTTGCAGCCATGATTGGAGCTGGAATGCTGGTACAATCAATACCCTATGATCAGAGCCCAGGCCCTAAGCATCTGGCTTGGATGCTTCATTCTGGTATGTACTATTTCAATTTCTTATTAAACCGCCTCGAATATTATTCACTTTCCTGTTATTTGTTCGTTTTTTTGAGACAAGGTCTACATTTGCATGCCAGACTGGCCTACAACTTGCTGTCTTCCTACTTCAGTTTCTTAAAACATCTCACTTAAATATTGGCCTTTTTGAATGTCTCTTCAGTTGGTAAGCCTCATTTTTAGAAACCAGTTTTCATATAGTCATTGTTGGTACAGTTGCCAGGCCTTTGCTTTAAAGGTATTGGTATTGAAGGTTGGTATTAAGATAGCTCTGAGGTTATGTTATGAGATAAACTATGTATAGGAAAAGAGGGAGAGGCCACTAAGGTGCTCAGCAGATAAAGGCAATTGCTGTACAAGCCTGGTAAGCTGTACTCATGCCCGGGGGCCCCCACATAAAGATAGAAGAGAACTAACTTTACAGAGTAGCCCTCTGACCTCCACAGCATGGCATGGCATAGGCATATACACACATACTATGTACACATGCTTATACAATAGTAATTTAAAACAAGAGCCAGATCAGGTGATTCAATACTCAGGCGGCTGAGTCAGGGAGATTACAGGTTTAAAGACAGGAGAGGCACTTCCTCAAAAGGTATGTAACTCAGTGGTATTAGGTTTGCTGCACAAGGCCCTGGCTTGCTCCCCAGGACGTGAAAACCAAAGGAAGCAACTATGTTACTTCTCTGTTGAAATAATTTCATATCAGTTTGAGGGGTTCCACTGATGTTTGGTGATTGGCTGTAACATGTTCCTGTAATATTTGTTTTGGTTTTTTGTTTTTGTTTGTTTTGTGGGGTTTTTTGTTTAGTTTTTTGGGGGTTGTTTTGGGGAGGTTGGTTGCTTATCCTTCCCCTCCCCCCCCAAGACAAGGCCTCACAGTATAGCACTGGCTGTCCTGGAACTCACTATGTAAATGAAACTGGCTTCAAACTCGGAGATCTGCCTGCCTCTGCCTCCCAAGTGCTGGGATTACAGGTGTGCATCACCACCATCTGGCTCTGAGGTTTCTTTTTATGGACTGAAATGAGACTGCTCCTATTAAGTGAGGCAGATCCATTGAGTGCCTGGGAAACCTCTACATTTCCAAGTTTCATCACACACTTTCTTTCAGTTTATTTTCTTCCCTTTGGGCATCAGTAGGTTTCACCTTCAGCTCTTTGTTTGGCATTGTATCAGTTCTGTCTTATGTAATTGTGAAATCTATTGGTGGTCTCTGATTGAAATAGTGACCTACACAGACTCTTAAAAAATTACTAAAAATGCAGGCTACTGTTTGTATTTTGAATTGTGACCCAATGGTGATGTGATAAAGAATTTGTATAACCACAGATACTGACTTATAATTTGGATGGTAGGGTAGAACTACCCAAATGTGAAATTTACTGTACCAACATTGTTTGATATAAGGTGCAGTGTTAAGATAACCTTCACAGTGACATTTTCTCTTTTGGTCATTTGGTAGATCTCTAACATGACCTTGCTCTTTTCCCAGGTGTGATGGGTGCAGTGGTGGCTCCCCTGACGATCTTAGGGGGGCCTCTTCTCCTGAGAGCTGCATGGTACACCGCTGGCATCGTAGGAGGCCTCTCTACTGTGGCCATGTGCGCACCCAGTGAGAAGTTTCTGAACATGGGAGCGCCCCTGGGAGTGGGCCTGGGTCTTGTCCTTGTGTCTTCAGTAGGTAAGCTGCTATGCTTTGAAGGGTTCGGGTATCCTGAAGCATTAAGATTTAGTTTTAAAAATTGTTTAAAAGATAGGCTAATTTGGTGGGGTTTGATTATTTGACATCATAAAATATTGGCTTATGGTTAAGTATTCATTTTATTAAATATCTCCAAAATGATCAAGCTGACTTGGAAATTGTTCTAATGTTGGCAAGTAACTAACCCATTGGAGGAATGACAGTCTATGAGATTGTATAAGCACCTACTCAAATATCAGATATACCAAGGTAGCTTAAATAATGAAAGCTATAAGTCCAGTCGCAAGAAAGCCCATATCTATATAAATGCATTCTATGTTTTCCCCTCGTTTCAGGGTCTATGTTTCTTCCCCCTACCACAGTGGCTGGTGCCACTCTGTACTCAGTGGCAGTATATGGTGGATTAGTTCTTTTCAGTATGTTCCTTCTGTATGATACTCAGAAAGTAATCAAACGTGCAGAAATAACACCAATGTATGGCGTTCAAAAGTATGATCCCATCAATGCGTAAGTAAACCTTCCTGTTTCTGCTGAATTACATGGGCACGGCTATTTGTTTCCATCTGTGTTAGTTTCACAGGGTAACACTATAGCAAAGGACCATAAGATAGGTGGCCTTAAATTTATTCTCTTCAGACAAGGCATGGGAGACAGAGGCAGGCAGATCTCTTGAGTTTGAGGCCAGGCTGGTCTACAGAGTGAGTTCCAAGACAGCTAAGGCTGTTAAACAGAGAAACCTTGTCTCGAAATACAGCACAGTGGGGAACTTTGAAGGCCCTGAGTGAGAATATGTCCTCTATCTCTCAGCTGCTCTATCACTGCTGGTAATCCTTGACTAGTAGATGCCCACCTTCATCTTCATCTGCCATTGTCCCTGTGGTGCATGTCTGTTTTTTTCTCTTGTTGTTTTAAGATTTATTTACTTTTTATTTTATATGCATCTGTGTTTTGTCTGCATGTGTGCCTATAAGGCTGCCATCCCTGGAACTGGAGTTAGACAGTTGTGAGCTGTAATGAGGGTGCTGGGAATAGAAAAGCAGTTCTTAACTGCTGAGCCATCATCTCTCCAGCCCTGTTTGTCTTGAAGATTATATTTCCAAATCTCAGCACACAGTACTGAGACTTCCATCAGGTTAAATTTTGCTAAGTTGGAGTATAGTTTTGGCTCTTTACTTAGAAAACTGATTCCATTGCTGCTGTGTGTAACATTTAGAGGTCAGTTACAAACACTCTGTGTTGGAATGCATGTAATTAACTAGAGTGTTTAAGGAAGGGAAACTAGTTTGGAAAACATTTATCCTTGTGTTTGTTTTAGAGACACTCAACTCTAGTTGACATTCAGTAATATAAAATAAAATAGTGTTTTCACTTTTCTTGGATTCTGCCTAGAGCTTCAAAGTGTCTCTCACATTTTTAGTAATGCTTTCCTTTACCTAAAAATAAAATCATGTAATAGCTTTTTAAAACGTTGGTTGCTATAACACTTGGAGTTTTATAGCAGCTTTCTTAAAGAGGATGAAATGGATATATTCTATTTGAAAATGCCAGACTGTCTTGCAAGTTTTTTAAAGGTATGTTTTTTTTAATTTGTTTTGGTTATGCCATTGTCTGACACCCAGCTTTGATACTCATAGCAGGATGTCAAAGAATACATAATCCTTTTAAAAAAGTGTGTTCTGCATTTAAAAGATGATTCTACCAGAAGGAAAACTGAGCATCATCTGGTTTAGGACTCTAGCTGACATTTAAACATTATATTTTTAGTTTCCGTGTAGTAACACTAGGAATAATGAGTATTATTTTCTAAATAATCTTTTCTAAATTTTCTTTCCTAGGATGTTGGGAATCTACATGGATACATTAAATATATTTATGCGAGTTGCGACTATGCTAGCAACTGGAAGCAACAGAAAGAAGTGAAGTGGCGGCTTGTGATGTCTCTGCTTACTGATGCTCGCTTGCTTTTAGGAGCAGACAGTCATTACAATGTGCACTAGCAAAACTCCTTTGAGGTTTAGGAAGATAACCTGTCACCATGTTTAAATGTTCAGTAATGTGACCCTTCAGGCTTGCCTTTTCTTTTAGAGAATAAATTCAGTAGATGTCTTCCAAATAAGCACATACATTTTCAACTGTCATGTTTGAGTAATTTAAAAATACTTTGGTGAATGTGAACTAAAAATTGTTACAAGATTTCAAGTATTTTTTTTAATTTATAGGGTAAGTAAAATATAGCAAATTTGTGTGTACATATTTTGTGTAACTTGCAGAATATCTAAGGTCGTGAGTGACATGGAGGTTTTGGTATAGAATCAGGGAGAAGTAAAAAGTCACTTGCAGTCATGTTTTGAAAGCTTAGGACAGCATCGATTGTTGTGAGCCAATGAGAGACGACTGAGATGTGGAAACACCACTGTTGCTGGTCTGACACAGGTGTTTCTCCCTGTGCTTATCAGTGGCCTCCTGGTTGCTCATTGTTGGGATATCCTGCATTGTTAGTGTTAACCCTATAGAGACCCTGGTGGAATTATGTATATGTGAATTTTACTGTGAAGTCTTCTAAGACAAAGGCCCTTAAAACTGTGCTCACTATAATGTACTTCAAAGCACGAGATTTGCTTTCAAATATACAGTGTATTTGTAGTTGCGGAGGTGTGTTGGGCATTTTCTCAGTGTCTAATTGAAAGCATGCTTGCTTTTCTCATCACAACTTTGACAGCTGTCAGAAAAACCTCCTTGTGGCTTATGCTAAGATTAGGAGCCTTTTTTCTATGTTCCTCTCAGGTTAAGCATGAACAAGCAAAGCAGACTTAGTTGATTTGGGGGAATATTTGACTGAAAAACAACAGAGAGGTGCTTCGTTACTCTCCCTTAGCACGTTCTCTCTGTGTACTTACATTTGTAAGGTTTTGATACAGATCACTTTGGGGGGGGGCACACCAGTGAAGTCTGAATATATACACAGTTGCTATTTTTGAGAAATATTTATTACAGTAATCCAGAAATAACTAGTTTAATCATTTTAAAGTACACAGAATGCTTATTTCTAAAATAAAAATTCTAGCCAGATGGTGAGTGCTGTACATTTTTCTCCCTGAAACATCCATCTTACTGGAGTCTTGAGCAAGAAAGCAACATGGACATTTGCTTTGAAGTACATACTGCAGTCTGATAAGATGGCACTTGTGGCTGGATAGCCATCCTCTATTTGGATCTCAACTCTGTTCACTGATTTCTTCTATGAACCTGGACAAATTACCTAATTTCCCCACACCCAATTTCCTCATCTGTAAGATGGAGACATCTACCCTGTGGGGTTAAGGCAAAACTCAGAAATGGTTGGGTGTCAGTAATTTTAGCTGTTGCTGCTGGGGTTTTTTTGTTTGTTTTGTTTTGTTTTTTCCCTTAAGTTAAAAGAAAAAATGCCTAATTTCTGTAGATTCAAGTCTCCATGAAGTTTCACTGTCATTTTAAGTTGAAATCTTTATTTGATTCTTTTGAGACAGGGTTTCTCTGTTTAACAGCCCTGGCTGCCTAGAACTTGCTTTGTAGATCAGGCTGACCTTGAACTCACTGAGATCAGCCTGCCTCTGCCTCTAACTCTGAGTGCTAGGATTAAAAGCATGCACTGACACCACCTCCCAGACTTGAATTGAAATAGTAAACGACCTATAGTTTTCAGTTGCAGTTTAGAGCACAAAGTTTCATCCTTCGTTTTATATGGTTACTCACAAAACAACAGCATGACTTCAACAGGGGTGTCAGGTAGAAATTGGTAAGATCAGGGGTTCTTTTACATATATGGGTGCACATACCATGGTGTCCTGTGAGTATGTGATAATCAGGACAACTTGAAGGGTTCCCACCATGTGGGTGGCAAGGCAGCTCAGGTCATTAGGCTCAGCAGCAGTACCTTTTACCCACTGAGCTATTTTGCCTGCTGCTGGTGGTTTTATTTTAATGAGATATTTTATAGCAATTTCATTGCTGAAACAATAAAGACTATAAAATGAGTTATATTAAATGTGGTGTTAGGCAGTAGATCTGAAGTGATAAAGGAAAGACCTGGGTCCTTGGATCTTAATATATCCTGGGTGGATGAGCAGATATTTTCCTCACAGAATGGAGTTGGCATGGAAAGTAGTAGGTTTTAGGCAAAAAACAAAATTTGTATCATTTGAAATATTAGATCACAGGCCCTTGGGATTGCTTAGAAGGTTTTTAAACTTATTTGAACAAGCTTGGAGGCGTGTAATTGCCAAGTGATGTGTACATTGTTCCAACCTGTGCATGGAGATTTTGTTTGTTTAGTATTTGAAAATTTTACACATTTACCACAACTACCCACTCCTTGTTCCCTCTTGTGCCCAACACCCTTGTGTGCTCCGTCTCCCTCAGCCCCTCTTTTTTTTTTATTAATAACCCAGAGTCCATATGCACTTGGATATGTGTTCTGATAGAGTGATTCCCTCAGCTGCCATCAACTACAAACTTCTGGGAGGGTGGGACCTCAGGTTCCTCCATTCTGGGATTTTGCCTGGGCGGATCTCGTGCAAGTAATCACAGATACTGTGAGTTGATGCATGTAGTGACCATGTTCGGAAGTCAGCATTTGACAGCACTCTTTCCTAAATTTCTTTGCACTCTGAACTTCCCTGAGCTTTGAATGGTGGGGTTGCTATAGATAATCCATCCACAGCTGAGTCCCCAGTCATTTATCCTCAGTACTTTAGTTAGCTGTGAGTCTGCATTAACCACTGCCCACTGCAAAAAAGAAGCTCATCCAACCAAAGTTGAAAGCAGTGCTAGGCTATGGGTATTGATACATATAACTGGAAGTTAACATGACATTTTAGCAAAACAGATTTCATCCCCTAGGGTTTATGATCTCCCAAGTTAAAAGCTTACAGTACCAAATACGGAATCCTTCCTGAGGCACAGACCATATCCAAACAGAAAGCACTTGGTTACCTTCATAATCTTCATGCCACATCTTGCCCACAACTCAGTATTGTAGCATTCAGGGCCCAGCATCAAATAAGAGCAACAACCTGCTCAACACCTTCTAGCACTCTGTAGGTTGGTTAGCCATTTCAAATTTTATTTTGTCCTGAGAAATAGTGTTTTGCCATCTAGTTATGGTGGGCAACAAGGAGGAATGGTTACAGCCTATTTAGTGCCTCTTGGGCCTACTAGACCAGTGACTCCAAGATTCCATTCTTGGCACTGAAATTTTCCTTTAAACACACCTGGGAGCCTCAAATTCATATATATTAGCTTACAACTTACTGACTTCCATAAGACTTTATGTATCCTTAGTTTTGCTAGCATCCCTCCACCCACTCTACACTGATCACCCTATGTTCACTTAATCTGAAGAATCTCCTCCATTTTCCTGTAACCTGTATTCTACTGTCCCCTCTACTGGGGCTTTTTTCTTTGGCCAGAAGATCCCGGGTTTCCGTACAGCTTTGCCCCATGTCCCTTTCCCCCTTGTTGAGTCTTCTGCCCACCATGTTTCCTCATTCCCCACCCTCTCTGTGCCTCAACTTTTCTACCCCCCCCCAGCATCCCCTCTCTACTTTGATTATACTTGTATTTTACTAGCCTCTCCCTTAAGGCAACCAGTCCCAATGGCTCATTTCCAGTTTCCTGGCTTCCACAGGTACTCCAGGTTGAACATAAAACAGAAGTCAAAGCTAGGCTCTGCATATAAGGGGCTTTTGTCTTTTTGTTGGCAACCACTCTATTGTTTTTCTGGTTCTACTTAACCATCATCAGATGATTGACATCTTGGTGATGCCATTTCCTAGCTTATTGTGAATTGGGCCTCATGCAGAACTGCCAAGATCAAGATATAAATGAAAACAAATGTTCTCAAAGATATGAGTAAAGGGGAATCATTGAACAGGGTTGAGTGTAAACTATCTGGAAATCAGTCTGGGAGGTCCTCAAAAGCTAGACAGAACAACCAAGATGGAACTATATCACCCCTGAGCAGATTCAACAGCACTTTACATCCTACTGCAGAGATATGTATGCATACATAATTGCCTCTACCTTTTAAAAACAGAATACATATAATTTCTGTTTGCATGTATTCCTACACACCAGAAGAGGGCACCAGATCTCAGTCTCACTATAGGTGGTTGGGAGCCACCTTGTGGTTGCTGGGAACTGAACTCAGACCCTCTGGAAGAGCAGTGCTGTGAACCACTGAGCAATCTGCATCCAGATTTTACCAGTTTTTAACGAAGGCTAGTGAGATGGCTCAGCAGCTAACATGCCACAGAGTGAGATGACTTCGTTCAATCTTGGGTACCTACATGGTAGAGTGAGAAAAAAGACTCCTGCATGTTATTCCTCTAACTTCTGCATGTGTCTTTTTTTTTTTAAGGGGATGGGGCTTCAGAGAGCATTACAAGAAAGCATGAACAGGTCAGCCCAGTTATGTTCTGAAAGCACATTGAATAGATTGATCTTGGCAGTGCAGAATGACTAAGAGTAGATGGTGAATAGAGGTTGAGAGTTTTACTGGTTAATGTGATCTGTTTACAAGACTATGAAATTTGATAGTCCTTGAAGGAATTCTTGGCACCAACCTGAAACAATGAATGAGTGGCCAGAGGCACGTCAGTCTGAAAGCTTGCAGCTGGTTGCCAGTGACCATGAGAGGTCTAATAGTGCCAAAAGAGGGCAATTGGCCTTGCTGGCCTTGGATCACACAGTGCTTAAGGCCAAAACCTTTACTAGAAGTGGAGATTTTAAAGTCTCAACTGTCCTTCAGAGCTTGAGTCACTATTCAGATGTCAGCACACCTGGGTGACTCATGAACCATTCTAGAGCTTGGTGTATCTATTAGACACTTAAGTAATAGTTGGAGCACAAGAAGTAACACTTAAGTGGCTCAAGATCATCCAGAAAATAAAAAAGGATTACCCAAAGTAATTGTTCTGAGAAGTCTTGGTGCTTCTGGGAAGAAGAAAGTCTGGCCTCATATCCACAGGCAGCAGATGGAGGGAGTGTCAACCTACTTAGAGAACTCAGCTCCACTGCAGGACCCGATCAAACTGTGTGTGGTGTTGGAAGGTATGAAGTCTGCAGGACTCTACTTGTGCTCAAAGTCAAGTATTCCACTCTGGGTGTCTCAAAACAAGTATAATCAACTGACTCATTTAAGTAGAATAAATGGTTCTACTTAATGAAATGGGGTCGGGGGCATCAAGATGACTTGGTGGGTAAAGGCACCTGGTGCCAAACCTGATGAACCTGAATTTTATTCCTAGGACCCATATGGTAGATGGTGAGAACCAACTCCGGTGAGTTGTCTTCTCATCTTCACACAGGCATCACAGCTCATACATGGATGCATGCATATGCCTACACACACACACACACACACACACACACACACACACACACACACACACACACACATACACACCACGTGCACACAGCACACACAGGCACAAACATAACAAATAGTAAACTGCAAAAATGAGATTTTTTTTACTAGTAAATCGAGGAAAAAATCATTTGGTAAGCAAATGGGGAGTTTGGTAATTTTTAGTATAGTATAATTGACCCTGCTTAGTATTTTATGTGTATGAGTGTTGTGCCTGCATGTATATATGTGCACCACGTGTGTTCCTGAGGCCAGAAGAAGCTATCACATTCCTTGGAACTAGAGTTCCAAGACAGTTGTAAGCTGTCTTGTGAGCCTGAGAGTCAAATCTGAGTCCTCTGGAAGAGCAGCCAGAGCCCTTAACTACTGAACCATCTCTCCAGTCCTTGGGTAGTACTTAAACATGGAAATCCATATGGAGAGACGGTGGTAACTGCTGAAATACTTGCTAGAAAGTTCATGGGGGAAAAGTCAGACCCACTGCAGCACTGGCCTTACACCTTCAATCCCCCATGGCCCATCATGCTTTGCAACTTTGACTACTCCAACTGAGTTGACTTTACCCCAGGACTGCTCATCTCCAGCAGCTCCACACAAATCTCCATTTTATTCTGGGGCTTCTAGTGGGGAAGCAAGGTGACACCTCTTCTGGGAAGGCTGCTGC